TATGCATAGGGTCGCTATGAGACAGTGCCGATTTGATAACGCCTAACAATAAAAGTGGTAGCGTAGTGGTTACGAATCGGGCCGCCAGCTGCAAGGTCAGCAGTTCGAAACTACCAGCTGTTCCACAGGAGAAAGATGAGGCGTTCTGCTCCCATAAAGAGTTACAGCCTCGGAAACCCTGTACAGGGTCGCTATGTGTCGGAACCGACTCCACGGCACACAACAACAATAAAAGTGGAGTCCTGGTGTGGCGCTGTGGGTTAATGTCCCAGACTGCAAAGCCGTTTGAACTGCAAGGTAGGCAGTTCAATCTCACCAGCTGCTCCTTGGAAACCCTATACAGGGTCACTATGGGTTGAAACCGACTCAACGGCATTTAACAACAACAATAAAAGTGGAGTCCTGGTGTGGCACTGTGAGTTAATGCGCCGGACTACAAAGCCGTTTGAACCACAAGCTCAGTGGTTCAAGCTCACCAGTCGCTCCTTAGAAACCCTATGCAGGGTTGCTATGGGTCAAAACCAACTCGATGGCACTTAACAAATAACAATAAAAGTTACTGCCAAGTGGATTCCTACTCATGGTAACCCCATGTGTTCCAGAGTATAATTAGGCTCAATAGGGTTTCAAAGGCTATGACCTTGAAAAAGCAGATCATCAGGACTTTCTTCCTCAGCATCTCTGAATAGATCTGAACCACCAACCTTTCAGTAGCCCAGCATGAAACACTCTGTCTTAAATATTAAAGCACGCTCTGGTAGCGTAGTGGTTACAAATCAAACTGCGAACCTTAAGGCCAGCAATTAGAAACTACCAGCTGCTCCTCGGGAGAAAGATGAGGCGCTCTGCTCCCGTAAAGACTTACAGCCTCGGAAACCCTGTACAGGGTCGCTATGGGTCGGAACTGACTCGACGGCACCTAACAACAACAACAACAACCTCACCTAGTCTGTCACCTCTAATTGAGAACACTTCTTTGATGTTAAGACAAGAAATCAAAAGCAGCATATAAAATATTTTAATTTGCTTTAATATTTCAATCCTACTCAAAGCTGCTAAAAATAGGACCTCCACCTTTCTCTCACTTCTCTTCCTCTCTAATATGCTCCATATGAAGATTTAGTGAGGACAGTCAGTCCAAAGAACAACGGTCAATACATGCACAGCTCCCTCCACCAGCTCAGCTTCCAACAACTATAAGAAAGTCAAACATCAATTTAAAATAAAAAGGAAACAAAAGATGGCACACATCATTATTCCTGTCAAGTGTACAAATGAGTCACTTACTCTAGTCCACACACAGCAAAATCTGAAGAGTCAAAGTTGGAATGAACAGGAGCATTTTTTTTTTCTGGGTAGTAAGTATAAGAACCAGGGAATGTCTTTAATTTTAAAATAAGAACCTGTTGTTGTGAAGTGCCGTTGAGTCGGTTCCGACCCATAGCCACCCTGTATAGGGTTTCCGAGGAGCAGGTGGTAAGCTTGAACCACCGACCTTGCAGTTCAAAGGGCTTTGCAGTCTGGCGCATTAACCCACAGTACCACACCAGGACTCCAAAATAAGAACCTAGACACTGTCAAATAAATCTTTATTTTTCAGAAACTGTTTTTCCATAAACCCCATAAAACGTAAGCACAAGGAAACAAGTCCATCTGAAAGAAGAAAGGGAGGATCTGTGATATATCATTTTCTCTGGCAGCTGTTAAGCAAAATGCAAATACAAAATGATCATCTTAAGACTATTTTTGCTTGCTTATTTGTTTTCAGTCCAGTTTCAGTAAAAACTGTACTTAATGCTTATTGCTAATTTTGCACACTTACTAATTGAACCTGTTCCTTTAACATCATTTTCTTCATCTCCAATAATTATCCAAGTAACGCTTTGTTGAAGAATAATAGTATTGTCATTATCATTGTTAAGTGCTGTCAAGTCAGTTCTGACTAATAGTGACCCTATGTCAGGTTTCCAAGGATAGACTGGTGGGTTTCAACTGCTAACTCTGCAGTTAACAGTCAAGTGCTTATCCTACAGCACCACACCATGATTCCTGAATTATAATATTGTTATTGTTGTCAGGTGCCATTGAGTCGGAAGCGACTCATAGCGACCCCATGCACAGCAGAACGAAACAATGTCCGATCCTGGGCCAACCTCACTACCACTGCCACACTTGAGCCCATCAATGATGCCACCTGGCCAATCCATCTCGTTAGGGGTCTTCCTCTTTTTCTCTGACCCTCCACCTTACCCAGCATGACATCCTTCTCCAGCAACTGTTTCCTCCAGACAATATGTCCAAAGTATGAGAGACGAAGCTTAGCCATCCTGGCCTCCAAGGAGCATTCTGGCTGCACAACTTCCAAAACAGATCTATTGGTTTTTTTGGCAGTCCATGGCACTTTCAGTGAAGTGAAGATTATAATATTAGTGAAGATTATTGAATATACCACAGACTGTCAGAAGAATGAACAAATCTGTCTTTGTTCTAGAAAGAAGTATAGCCAGAATGTTCCTCAGATGCTAGAATGGTGAAACTTTGTTTCGCTTACTTTGGACATGTTATCAGAAGAAACTGATCCCTAGAGAAGCTCATCATGCTTGATAGAAAGTCAGTGAAAGAGAGGTAGACCACCTCCCTTGCAATGACATGGATGGATACAGAGGTTGCAAGAAGGACTTTAAGAGTAGCAACTATCATGAGGGCCAGGTATGATTTCATTGGGTTACAGGATACAGGGGCATTACAATTCGGAATCAACTCCATGGCACCTAACAACAAAGCTTTGTTATTTTTCATGGGAACATTTCATTACATTGTTACTTTAAAAAAATTTTTTTAAACAAGCAAAACTGGTGCATGTGGGTGTGGCAGATAAAACATAAACGCATGTCAAACTATCAGTTTACCAAACTGATAGTAAACTGGCAAGAAATTCATCTATTTTTAAGATAAACTGGCACTCCACAAGCATTCGTCCTGCACAATTAGATTATGCCTATCTAAAAGTTGGAGTCCTGGTGTGGTGCTGTAGGGTAAACACTGGACCGCAAGGTCGATGGTTCATACTCACCAGCAGCTCCTTGGAAACCCTATCAAAGGTTGCTATGAGTTGGAAGCCACTAGATAACACTTAACAATATCTAAAAGTTAATCCTGAGTAATTAATCAGTGTTTACAATATTATTTTCATTAGATGTTTTGTTGGTTTTGGCACCTCAAAGACAGCCTTTGGTGCAATTTACAATTTAAAACGTTGTTGTTGTTGTTAAGTACCTTGGTTCTGACTCATAGTGACCCTGCACAGGATTTCCGAGGCTGCAAATCTTTATGGGAGCAGAAAGCCTCATCTTCCTCCCGCAGAACCGCTGGCAGTTTCGAAATGCCGACCTTGAGATTAGTAGCCCAATTCATAACCACTACACTACTACCAGAGGTCCTTTTTTAAAGAACTAAGTATCCAAAATTAGCTTTCAATAAGTAAGGTTGGCAATAATCCTAAACTTTGACTTTACTTTAGGCAGATTGCAAGACAAAACCATAGTACTGTATTTTACAAGAGAAGCTATATATTAACCAGTTACTTAATTTAGAAAATAATCTTTCAGTCACATTATGCAACTCTCTTAACCTGAATGGTACTTCGCATTTTAAATCACACTTTACTATCAGATAATACTCTTAAAGGTACTGGGTGGGTACAGATTCTCTAGCACAAACGTAGAAGTTATGCCATCAGCAAAATAACAAAACAGAATCTGAACTCAGGATTTTTTACTCAGATGGACCGTTCCAGTCACAAGGTCAAGCATTAATCGCACTGACCATCCTTCGCCATAAGATCATTGCACCATAAAGGTTTTAGGAGAAACATGTTCTCTGTGTCAACTAAAATAAGCCCAAATACAACACTATAAAACCAGTCACTGTTCAGCATTTCTTCATGAGGAAGGCATTCATAGTCTTTCTTGGTACAACCTAAACAGTAATTCCTAGAAGGCACTGGCAAAGCCTAGCCAGACCAATCTGCAGTAGAAAAATGAGTGCATGCGTCCAAAAAGATGACAGAAGGGGCAATGTTTTCAATTCCTGACTTAAACTCCGCATTGCAATAGCGGTTCAGGCTCCCGCGGTAAACATAGTCATTGTATAGGATCTGACACGGCCAATGTAAATGAGGGTTCCCTTGACCACCAACCTGCAGCTCTAGGGAAATACAATTACTGCAACAAAAGACGGTGTTTGCATAATTGCACAAACACATAAATCATTTTTTTAAAAATCATAATGTTCAGTCTCAGCTCTGTGCTGACACTTTTCCCACCTAAACTTCTCAGTACAAGCGTGGCCTAAAGGCACAGCAAGGACCCAATCCATGCAGCATGCACCCACAACCAGAACCGAACGGCGGGGCAGTGCCTGCCCAGTCCTGTTCTGGCCAGGTTGTAATGTAGTTTAGTCCCGTCTACTTTATGGTAATGTTCTTTTAAAACCCCGCCGCGACCGAGGTCATTACTTTAGAGATCTAATAACAAGCAAATGACCGGGGCTGCCAGGCACTTAGTGAGCCATTCTGGTTATGGCTCTTTAATAGTACCTGGAGTTCTGCTGAAGCAAGAGCGGAAAACTCTGGCTTCCGCGGAGAAAAAGTCCTCTGCCGGGAGCGCAGAGAGAAGCGAATGGACCGGGCGCGGGCAGACGACCCGCCGCCGTGACCCCATCTCCCGGGCAGTCCCAGCGCGACCCTCACCCGCAGCCAGGCTGCTCCCGGCCACACCTTTACCTGTCAGTCCCACCACCCCAGTGAGCTACTGCTCCTCGACCTCGGCGGTAGCCTCTCTGAATCTAGAGCACAGTTTTTCAGCAGCTGCAGGAGAAAGAACCCCAAAGGCATCCCATCCCAAAGAAAGAAAGCAAAAAGGCTCTTCTTCCTCCAGGCGGAGGGACATCGGGCACGTCGACACCTGAGCGACAACACGCCACCCCTGCCCCGCACCTACCAGATAATCCATGTACAGAAATGCCTCAGTTATCCGGAGATCAGACATCCGGCAGCCTAAAGCATCCGGAACGGCTCCGAACCCGGAAAAAAAAGCAGCGTCTCTGGCTGCGAGCGAGCAACCCTTGAAAAGCCAGCAACAACGAAAATAGCCGAGAACAGCCGAGGAGACGAAGATTACACAAGGGGCGCGGCGATTGGCCGGTCGCGCGAGAAGAAGGAAAGAAGAGCGCTCATTGGCTATGGCGCATATAAAAGGCAGGCCCTTGCCGGTGGCAGGCGAGAAGCGCGGGAGAGGCAAGGGCGCAGGTTCCTGGCCGTGGGTCGGAGGGGCGGAGGCGGGGGGAGGGCGGTGCAATCAGATGAGCTAGCGGAAAGAGCGGAAAATCCGCAGGGACTGCTGCAGCCTGAGTTATTTGCTCTTCTGTAGCCTTCTAGTAGGATCAAGTGGGACAGAGCTCCATGCTCCAGTGCCAAGGAACCCTGGTGTCCCCGCCCACCCACTCCTCAATAGGAAGCTTGCGTTGCAACGTGGGACGCTAGGTAGCCACCTACACTTAATGTCTCTCTTCCTAGCTATTTCTTAAAGGTTCTGCGGTTAGGAGCTGGTACCGGTGAGAAGAAAGTGTAGAGGAGGGTACTTCGTGAACAGGCAAACCCGTATTTGATTCGGGCACCGGAAGACTCCTGCTTACCTTCTTCATGTGAAGCCTAACGTCCCTGGGGTGCACACACCACACACATGGGGCCCACGGTCATATCAGAATTCCAGACTGCCGCCTTAGACCTCTCCACTATGTGAAAGAAAAAACAAAGTTTAAGGATTCGGTATTGTCAGTTGTAATTCTCAGACACTCGCGAAGAGAGCTGATCAGTTTTTGACATGCTTTTTTAGTCCAGTTACACTGAGCACAAATCCAATGCCCCTGAATAATATGAATAGAAAAAGCTTTCTGAAAAGATGCCAGTAAAGTATGTAACACTTGTGACCCAATGTCACTTTGTTATTGTTATGTGCCACCGAACTTCCAAATGTTGTTTTGTTGTTAAGTGTTGTCTAGTAAGTTTTGACTCATGTTGATGTTGATGCTAGAGAGTTTCCAAGGAGCGTGGCTGGTTTGAACCGCCAACCTTGTGATTAGCAGTAGCGTACTGATCCTACAGTTCCACACCAGGACTCCTTCGGACTCATATCGATCCTTTATAGGGTTGTCGAGACTGGTGGGTTTGAACCGCCGACCTTATAGTTAGCAGTCCAGTGCTTATCTTACAGCGTCACACCAAGACTCCTGTAAGAGGTTAATTATTTATATATATACATATACATGTAAGGAGCTCTGGTAGCCACAGTGGTTATGACTTGGGCTGCTAACCTCAAGGTCAGCAGTTTGATATTACCAGCAGTTTCGCGGGAAAGATCAGACTTTCTGCTCCCGTAAAGATTTACAGCCTCGGAAACCCTTTATGGGGTCGCTATGGGTCGGAACCGACTCGGCGGAACTGAATAACAACAACAGCTATATATATATATATATATTTTTTTTTTCGTATATATAGAATGTATATTGGACAGATAGGCTTGAGACGTGTGACTTTGTTGTTGTTAGGTTCCATCGAGTTGGTACCGACTCATAGCGACCCTATGCACAACAGAACGAAACACTGACCAATCCTGGGCCAACCTCACTACTCTTGCCACGCTTGAGCCCATGGATGCTGCCAGTCTTCCATTCCATCTTGCTAGTGGTCTTCCTCTTTTTTCTGACCCTCCACCTTACCAAACATGATATCCATCTCCAGCAACTGGTCCCTCCTGACAACATGTCCAAAGTGGCAGCATCGATGAGCTCAAGCGTGGCAACAGTAGTGAGGTTGGCCCACGTTCTGCTGTGCATAGGGTTGCTATGGGTCAGTACCTACCTGATGGCACCTAACAACAACAATAGCACCATACCAGGACTCTATTTGGTTGGTAGTTATGTGCCATAGAGTCGGTTTCAACTCATAGGTATAGGGTTTCGACTCACAGGTATAGGGTTTCTGAGTCTGTAAATCTTTACATGTGCAGAAAGCTTCGTGTTTCTCCAAAGGAACGACTGGCAGTTTCGAACTGCTGACCCTGAGGTTAGCAGCCCTACTTTTAACTTCTATGCCAATGATGGATAACTGTGGAATTTGTCTAACCCTGCAAAGAAACCAGGGAAAGGGCAGCCCCTTAGAGTTCAAGGTTAATGAGTCACATGACTCAGTAATGTTATCTAATCCCTCTGAACCTCTTTCTTCAACTAAAAAGTAAGAATTCCTTTTCAAAACCAGAAGGTTTTAAAGGAACTGGAAGAATTTGTACACAATACGGAGTTTGGCTTAGAGAAGATGTGTGCCTACCAAGGCTACTTTGTTGATTTAATTTACAGATAAAGAAGTGTATAAATAATGAAAATTTAAACCTCTTCTCCTTCCCCTATGCAGGCATTTACTAGATTTAATTTCATTAAGCCATGAGACCTAAATTTGATTTTTCTTGGCATTCTGTTGTTAAACACATTTGGGTTTGGAAGCTAATGTGACCTGTATTGTGGAAATTTAAATTTTCGTAAACCCAAAGGGTGGCAAAATGATTAAGCACTGGACTACTAATTGAAAATTTGACAGTTCAAACCTACCTAGAGTCACCTCTGCAATAAGGCCGGGTAGCCTGCTTCCTGAAGATGCCAGCCTGTGGAACATGGGTTCACCATTAGTCAGAGTTCTCCCGCACCTAAACAACACAGTCTTCTAGACAGCTGAAGCAACTATAATTACAAAAGATTTCTCGCAAACTTGCTAGCATAAAATAACTGAAAAAGAAAGGGAAGTGGTTCTCTTCGCCTTCTCCTTCTTTCAATTGAGAAAACATATCTGGTAGCGTAGTGGTAGTGGTTACGAATCGGGCTGCGAACCTTAAGCCCAGCAGTTCAAAACTACCAGCCATTCCGCAGAAGATGAGGCTTTCTGCTCCCATAAAGATTTACAGCCTCGGAAACCCTGTACAGGGTCGCTATGGGTCAGAACCGACTCGAAGGCACTTAACAACAACATTGTAAGTGAGATAAAGGGGCCAAGCCAGCAAACAGATACCTTTTGGTCCATTAGTAATGAATGGTGTCTTGACTACCAAGTCAGACTCTTAGAAGCCTGTCAACTTATGCAGGGGAAGATAACCACTTAAGGGCAATTGACTTCTGCCTTTGCTTCAAAAGTTAACCCTCTAATCAGAAGGTCATTAGGCTATGCCTGATCATGTTGTCTCTAGAAATTAGCAAATGGGTCCAAAAAAGAAAAGTAAAAGATTCTGTGAAGGGAAAATTTCCAAGATCTGCACCACTGTATCCCCTTTATTCTACAGTATTTTCATGTTTCTTCTGACTGACACCAAAAACTGTTTGTGGTTGATGTAATGTATTAAAAGAACACCACCACTTGTCTTGTCAGTTTACTGTAACGGGTGGCTTGCGTGTAGCTGTGATGCTGGAAGCTATGCCACCAGTATTTTAAATACCAGGAGAGTCAACCATGGTGAACAAGTTTCAGCAAGAGTTTACAGCGGACTACTTCTGGATGTTTAGCCACTGAAAATCTTAGGAGTTGCAGTAGAACATTGTCAGATACAGCGCCGAAGATGAACACATTATGAATAAAAGGCTCAAATGTCACAACAATTGTGAGGATGGCACAGGACTGGGCTGTGTTTCGTTTTGTTGTGCAGGGGGTCGTTATGAGTCAGAAACAATGTGACAACATAACAACGACAACAATGAAAAGAATCGTGATTTGGAAAACTGTTCTTTTAAAACACTTGAGGTTTCAGAACTCCTTATGAAGCACATTTTCCAACTACATGTTAATCTTCTGGGTCATTAATGTGTCCATCCTGTTCAAAGGAAAAGGGCTAACTTGATTGTGTTGACAAGAACAGATAATACACTACACAGTATGTGAAGCAGTGGTCTTGTCTGATAATGTTATAAGTAGCAGCACTAATCACTCCAATTCAGGCTTTTGAAGAGTGTACACTGGTTAGAATCAATTCATTCAAACTACTGCATGCAAGTAATGGACTGAAGTCTTGAATCAGACTTGATCTCATTAACCTAGTCTTGTCCTTGCCGTCCCTAGAAAGAATGATCCTCTTCCTGATGCATAAGAAAATGTGTAAATTCATGGGGCAACTGATTTTGAGGAAAGAAGCCATTGCTGCTATTTTCAAAAAGAAAAAGAAATTCTTTTGACAATTCCCACTCTACAATTCCATAAAGATGACTGACTAGCCAGATTTTGGGAAAATGTTTTGTTAAGGCTTCTCTCATAAAAAGCAAAAACAGAAATGCAGTTTTATACTTCTTTTTGTTGTTATTAGGTGTCAAGTAAGTTCCAACTTATAGTGGTCCTAAGTTCTGCTGTGCATGGGGTCACTATGAGTCGGTTCTGACTCGATGGCACCTGACAACAACAACAACAAGTACAACAGAACAAAACACTGCCCAGTTCCTGTACCATACAGTCATTGCTGTTTGAGCCTGTTGTTGCAGTCACGGTGTCAATCCATCGCATTGAGGGTGTTTTCCTTTTTCACTGATCACCTACTTTACCAAGCCTGATGTCCTTCCCTTGGGACTAATTTTTTTCTGATAGCATTTCCAAAGTACATGAGACTAAGTCTTGCCAACCTTGTTTTCTTGCTGCTGTTGAATTTGTTCTGTCTGACCCATAGTGGCCTTAAGTTAAACCGAATGAAACACTGCCCGGGGCCTGCACCATTCTCACAGTTGCTGCTAAGCTTGAGCCCATTGCTGCTGCCACTGTGTCAATCCATCTCCTTGGGATGTCTCCCTCTTTTTCACTGTACCTCCACTTTACCAAGCATGATTTCCTTCTCCAGGGACTGGTCCCTCTTGATAATATGTCCGAAGTCTGGTCATCTTGGCTTCTAAGGAGCATTCTGGCTGTACTTCTTCCAACATAGATTTGTTTGTTTTTCTGGCAGTCCATAGTACTCTTAATATTCTTCTCCAACATCATAACTCAAATGCATCAATTCATCTATGGTCTCCTTTATAATGAATAAATTTCACATGCATATGAGGCTATTGAAAATA